TTTGGATGGGTTTACACATAGTCCGTTCCTAACTGCCCATGTTGAGAGAACCCTAAGTTTGTCCGTCATGCGGTCGCACAGAGTCTGGGGAAATTATTCAGAGAAGGCAATTGCGACATCATCCGCAAAAGCGTTAGCCTTGCAACCACCACCTTTTAGGGATCGTACTTGTAGTAGGCTATTAACCGCCACGTTCTACAGTAGGGATGAGAGTACACCTCCTTGCGGAGTGCCTCTTCTGACGTGTCTTTGAATAGATTCTCCTCCTAATAACGTTTACACAGTCCTGTTAACCAAGATCTGCTTTATAAAGCGTACGGATTGATCGTCTATTCCTAGTCTCGTCAGCGCATTGATTATCGAGCATGGCCGGATGTTGTTAAACGCACGTTCTATGTCTAGAAAAGCAATGAGTGTCACTAAGTGCCTTTTCGACGAACGTAGGGATCTCGTGGAGTGCCGTCTCCGTGGATCGGTCCTTCCTATACGCATGCTGTGATCCCGAGATATCATCTGGGTTGATGGTAAGATAAATGTGGAGGCTGATAAAAAAAAAACACATTAAAATAGCATTCTTACGAAATCTGAACTCTCTAACTATTAAAACACCAAAGTAATAGTATTTCCGATGAATCAGTTTTATGGCGGCAATATAATATAGCCGATCCTTATTAAATTCCTTATTATCGGCCGATCCTTATTAAATTTGGCTTTCATATTATTTTGCCAAAAATAGCTCTCTAGAATGTTTACAAAGTTCCAAGTTTATATCTTTAAAAATACGAACGTTGGGTCATTTCCGATTGTTCAGTTATATGAACAATTCATTTGTTATATTCATTTCCAATCGTTCAGTTATATGGCAGCTATAGGATATAGTCGGCCGATCCTTATGAAATTAAGCATGTCGTATTATTTTGGCAAAAATAACATTCATGTAAAATTTAAACTCTCTAACTGTCACCGCTTGGCCGATCACGGGAATGCCTTATAACACTCGTAAATTGGACAAATGTTGAAGTGTAGTGTAACGAGCGTTTTATTCTAAAAGAAAATGGTTCTTAACCTGATACATAATTACTTATCCTACATACCGCAGTTTCTCTTCCCCTTTCTGTGATGGCGCAAATCGATGTGTTTATCCGCCAAATATTCTATTCCTGTTTACCCTATTTTAGTGCGACCAACTAACCTAAACTAAATACTAGACTTCATAAAAATCCTGACTATCGATAGCCTAATCCGTTCCGCGACATCCCCACCCCCGTGAAGCAGCCGCATTCACCACGTCCAGGACAGCTAGCTTCGAAGCGGGACGCATAGTCTTGGCTCGATCGGTAGTCCGCACCGCTGCTCGACGAGGTACTCCATCCTTCCCGGTGAACACCTCTTCCACGACGCCTCGTTTCCATTCCCTTCGTGGTATGGCTGGATCGCAGATGAATACCAGGTCTCCTCGACGGATGGGCTCGACGCGCTTGCACCATTTCTCCCTGCGCACAAGAGTTGGCAGGTACTCATGCACCCAACGCTTCCAGAAACGATCGCGCATCATCCTTGCTATGCGCCACTGCTTCCTAGTAGCGGATCTCACGGGCTCCTGTCCATCATCCTTGGGGAGATCTGGGATATCCGATGCTCCTTTCAGCAAATCGTTGGGCGTCAGTGGAGCCTCCTGGTCCACCGTCACCGGTAGATGAGTGAGCGGACGAGAGTTTACGATGCTCTCCGCCTCAATCAGCAGGTTCTGCAGTACATGCTCCTTGGGCGCGAGCTCCTTCATTGTGTGCGCCAACACCTTCTTCACGCACTGCACCATCCTCTCCCAGGCACCGCCTTCAGCTGGGTTCGCCGGGCAGTTGAAGATCCATTCGACTCCCTTAGACGACAGCTCGCCTTGGATCTGTGCAGGCTCGAACACTTCGCTGAACCTCTTAGCCTCGCGGTCGGCTCCAACGAAGTTCTTCCCATTGTCGCTCCTTATCCTGACCACTGGTCCACGGCGGCTCATGAAGTTCCTCATGTCGATTATGCAGGAGTCGGTCGACAAATCGTGAGCCATCTCCAAGTGGATAGCCCTCGTGGTCAGGCACGTAAACAGTGCCACCCACCTCTTCTCTGTGCGACGTCCAATTGTCACAAGGAGCGGCCCAAAGTAGTCCAGGCCAGTAGACTTAAATGGCCATCCGTTGGCCTCTAGCCGATCCGCAGGTAAGGGGCCCATCTCGGGCTGTGTGGGTCGTGCCTTCCGCAGCTTGCAAACGTTGCATTTGCTCACCACCCTCCGTAGCAGCCTCCGCAAGTTCGTTATCCAGAACTTGCTCCGAATCGATCCGATCGTCGCCTCCGTGTTTTGGTGGCACATCCTTTCGTGGTGTTGCTGCACGATCAGCTCTGCCAGCGCCTCCTCGTGAGACAGTATGATCGGCCGACGTGCGTTGTATGGCACACACGTCGCGTCGTCGATCCTTCCACTGGCTCTCAATACTCCGTCCTCGTCAAGGTATGGGGACAGTCCGTGCAGTCGGCTGTCCTTGGCGGCGTTTCCTTGGCTGTCCTCAGCAAACGCTTCTCGCTGCGACTGCCGTATCAATGCGCGTTCTGCTTCAGCGCACTCGATCGCGGTCAATCCATAGACCTCTTCATCGCGACGTATTCCACGGCATCGTCGAACAAATCTGAGCGCCCACGCAGTCGTCCTCACCAGTCGATTATAGCTGGAGAACCTCTGCAAGGGTATAAAGTTTACCGTGACCAAGGCAAACTCACATTTCATTTCCTCGTCATCGGTCGTCGGAGGAATCCAGTCCTCGCTCGATCTCGGCCAGCTCTCCTCTGGTCCTCGTAAAAACGGCGGTCCGTTTAGCCATCGCGAACCGATGCTCAGGTCCACGGCCTTGCGCGGCCTTGTTGCGTCATCAGCCACGTTTTCGGCGGACGGGATCCATCTCCACTTGGACGCCTCTGTCGATTCCAAAATCTCCGCCACCCGGTTTCCGACGAACTGTTTGTATCTCCGGTGGGTGTTGCTTATCCAGTGCAACACAGTCTTGGAGTCCGTCCATAGCGCACAGCTGCTGATCGCCACACCGTGCTCCTGCTTGACGGTGTCCATCAATCTCGTGCCCAATACCGCTGCTTGGAGTTCCAGACGCGGGATCGACATGGTTCTCATCGGGGCGCATTTCGTTTTGGAGCTTATGAAGTGCGCCTTCACGTCTCCGTTCTCGTACGTGGCCCGCCAGTAGGCCGCTGCTGCGAACGCCGATTGACTGGAGTCCACGAAGATGTGCAGCTGTAGCGTCCGCACTCGTCCGCCGCCAAAGTAGTGGCGCGGGCATCGGAACTCCTGGATCCGACTCATCCCTTGCCGCCAATCCTCGAAGGCTGCGGCCAATTCATCCGGTAGCGACTCGTCCCAGTTGACTCCTCTCCGCCAAATCTCTCTCAGCAGCAGTTTGGCAATCACCATGTAGCAGCTCAGGAATCCAATCGGGTCAAACGTAGACATCACCAAGCTTAGGAACTCCCTCTTGGTAGGGACTCGTTCCCCCGTCATTACGTTCCTCGGGACTCGATGGTACTTGACGCCGAACTTGAACTCATCGGTAGCCGGCTGCCAGTACATCCCAAGCACCTTCTCCTCAGCTTCGGTCCATCCGACGCTGGCGATGGGCTCAAGTGGGTTCAGCGCTTTGACCACACTTGCCGAACTGGAGGTAAATCGGCACAAATCAAAACCAGCTTCAGCGTGAATTTCTCTCACCCGTGTCGAGATGGCGATAGCTTCGTCCTCGCTGGCGAAACTGTCGACGTAGTCATCCACGTAGTGGTATTGGTTGATGGCCAGGGCTGCTCGCGGGTCCGTGCTGCTATACCGCAAGGCATTCACGGTCTTCACGTAGTCCGCCGAACATGGTGAGCAGGCCGCTCCGAACGTCATTACTGCCATCTCGTATACGTCCGGCTCTCGCTGGTCGTCTCCGTCTCTCCACAGAAACCTCTGGGCGCATCTGTCCTTCGGCTGCATCAGTACCTGATGAAACATCTCCTTGATGTCTGCACAAACTCCAACCGCTCCTTCCCGAAAATGGAAGAGCACTGCTGGGAGGGGCTTGTAGCGCTGTGGGCCTTTCAGTAGCGCTGAATTCAAGGACACACCGTCCACCTTGGCAGCTGCATCGAAAACCAGCCGGATTTTCCCAGGCTTGTTCGGGTTTTCCACTCCGAAGTGCGGCAGGTACCACACTTTGCCCTCCTGAAACCTCTGGACTTCCTGGGCCTCGGAAGTCGACGCGAAGTCCACATCGCGCTTCATTTTACGCTCTATGTTGACGAGCCTCCTGAGGGCCATGCTGTAGCTCTCCGGCAATCTCACTTCGTCGTCCTTCCATAGCAGCCCGGTCTCGTATCTCTGGCCTACACGTTTGGTCGTCTTCTCCAGGGTGCTCAGGGCCCGTGCGTCGCCGCTATCTCCGACTGACGGCTCCAGGTCCACTCTGCCAGCTGCGGCTGGCTGCACCGGCTTCGCTCCGAAATTCTCGGTCTCGAAGTAGTCGCTGACCATCTTCTCCAGAAGATCATCCTGGGGCACGGCTAGGAGGCACGAATTCAGAAGCGGCGAGCTCGGCTTTCCGTTCACCGGTCCATATACCACCCATCCAAGTGCGGTGTCTGCTGCAAACGGCCCTCCAGATCCATAACTTTTGGTCCTGAAGGGTACTCCTAAGTGCGCATGATCCAGTCCAATTAGGATCCTCGGCGTCGCATTGTTGTACGGCATCACCGGCAGACGTGTGTTCGCCTTCACTGCTTGTACATCCTCCTGACGCAGGCTTGGCATCGGAAGGTTCAGATTGGCCACCCGTACACATTTTTCAGCCCATGGCGCTTTGGTTTGCCCGCTGCGCTGATCTGCAGGCTGACCACCTTCGTGTGCTCTTTGGCGGATTTTCCACCAAACCATTGCACGTTCAGCTGTCGACTCTCGCCTTTCAGGTTCAGGCTGCGGATGAGTTCGTCGTCGATGAGTGTGACAGACGATCCTTCATCCAGCAGTCGCTGGAATCCACTGACCGTGGCACTCCTCTCCGATTGTTGCCGTCTCTGTACGGCTGTCGGTCCTGATCCCTCCTGTGGCCCCCATCTGCGACTGGCGGCCGTTTGGATCGTTCAGGTACTTCGTGGAGCAGGTGGTGATGCCTCATCTGGCATCCGAGGACGTTGCATCCGCGGCTCTTCCTGCAGAACCGGGACATGTGTCCGGGCTCCAGGCACGAGAAGCACAGTCGTCGCTTCCTCGCGGACTCGATCCGTGTCGTTGTAGAGGCGCTGATGAAGTCCTTGCAGTCCCTGACCTGGTGCTGTCCCTCGCATATAGGGCAGCATCTGGGGCGGTCGACATATCGATCCTCCTCGCGAACACTATTCGCGTGCAGAATCCTTCGCTTCGGTTGTTCCCTGGCTCCGGCGTCCGTGACAGTGCACACCAGTTTGGCGAATTCATGGAGCCACTCGCTCAGGTGCGCCACCGTCGGATACGGCTGTATCGTGGCCGCGTGCCTTGCCCAATCCAACCTCTTGCTTAGCGGCAACTTGGCTATCAGCTCCTCCATTAGGGTTGGGTTGGCTAAGTGCTGGCTGCCGGTCGCGGTCGACTGCAGGAACGCTGACAGGTTGCTAACCTTCGTCGCGAACGGCACGATCCTCGCGATGTTGGCCTCCTGAATCGGCTGCACTTCGCGCACGCTCTCCAATTGGCTGCGGATCAGTTGCTCCGGGCGTCCATACCGGAATCGTAGCTGCTCCATAACAGCTTGTACGTTGCTGGGATGGATGAGCAACGACTTCACTGTTTCGCGAGCCTCTCCCTTCAGGGCTTTCACTAGCCTCTGGTTGTTCTCCAACTCGGTGCACTGGTAGGCTGCAGTTGTCTCCGTGAACGCACACAGGAATATTGGCCATTCCTCTGGCTGACCCTCGAAATAGGGAAGATCAGGTAGTCTGCGTGGCGTCCATCCTTGTATGCTTGTCGTCGGCGCTCCATATGATATGGGCGATGGCGCAGGTACCTCTGGGTGAACATAACCTAGCACCGGCTGTGCTGCGGCGGTCACACAAGATGGCGGAGAATAGCGCAGCATTGTTGTTGTCGACACAGGTTGCCCGTTTGCCCAATGGCCGCCAAGCGTCGGCGCCAAATTCGCACTCCATTGTGGCGGCAAATTTGTACTCACTTGTGCCGGCAACTGCAGCGATGGCGTCACTCCGAGATCCGTTTGCAGATTGTCCCTCATCTGCCTGGGCAGGTTTTCGCTCAAACTCTGCCGTGGCGCTGCTCCATGAAGTGGCAGCGTTCCACTCGAACATGGCGGTGTATTCGCTGCACCGCTCACTCCAACGCCGCGTGCCCCGATTCCAACGGGATCTCTGGCGGCCTCTGCTTGTCCTCCACTTGCTCTTGCCTTCGCCAGCTCCGACTCCAGACGTGCGATCCTTTCCATTAAGGCCGCCACTACAGTTGTGGGATCCGTAATCTGCCCCGTCGCTTCGGGCTGCAGGTTACTTGCCGCTTTCCTGGCGGCTGTTCCACTTTCCTTCGGAGTCTGTGGCCTCTGTCGATCACCAGCCACACTCGCAGAGCTGGTCGCGGTGCCAGTTGCTGTGGCCGTGGTGGTCGCTGTTGCGGGAACGCCCGAGGCTTCCAGCCTGGGGCTCCGCCTGGGTGAGTGCTTCGTGGGCATCATCAATGCAGAGTGCGAATAAAAGAATTTGTCACCGCTTGGCCGATCACGGGAATGCCTTATAACACTCGTAAATTGGACAAATGTTGAAGTGTAGTGTAACGAGCGTTTTATTCTAAAAGAAAATGGTTCTTAACCTGATACATAATTACTTATCCTACATACCGCAGTTTCTCTTCCCCTTTCTGTGATGGCGCAAATCGATGTGTTTATCCGCCAAATATTCTATTCCTGTTTACCCTATTTTAGTGCGACCAACTAACCTAAACTAAGTACTAGACTTCATAAAAATCCTGACTATCGATAGCCTAATCCGTTCCGCGACATCCCCACCCCCGTGAAGCAGCCGCATTCACCACGTCCAGGACAGCTAGCTTCGAAGCGGGACGCATAGTCTTGGCTCGATCGGTAGTCCGCACCGCTGCTGGATGAGGTACTCCATCCTTCCCGGTGAACACCTCTTCCACGACGCCTCGTTTCCATTCCCTTCGTGGTATGGCTGGATCGCAGATGAATACCAGGTCTCCTCGACGGATGGGCTCGACGCGCTTGCACCATTTCTCTCTGCGCTTCCAGAAGCGATCGCGCATCATCCTTGCTATGCGCCACTGCTTCCTAGTAGCGGATCTCACGGGCTCCTGTCCATCATCCTTGGGGAGATCTGGGATATCCGATGCTCCTTTCAGCAAATCGTTAGGCGTCAGTGGAGCCTCCTGGTCCACCGTCCACCGGTAGATGAGTGAGCGGACGAGAGTTTACGATGCTCTCCGCCTCAATCAGCAGGTTCTGCAGTACATGCTCCTTGGGCGCGAGCTCCTTCATTGTGTGCGCCAGCACCTTCTTCACGCACTGCACCATCCTCTCCCAGGCACCGCCTTCAGCTGGGTTCGCCGGGCAGTTGAAGATCCATTCGACTCCCTTAGACGACAGCTCGCCTTGGATCTGTGCAGGCTCGAACACTTCGCTGAACCTCTTAGCCTCGCGGTCGGCTCCAACGAAGTTCTTCCCATTGTCGCTCCTTATCCTGACCACTGGTCCACGGCGGCTCATGAAGTTCCTCATGGCGATTATGCAGGAGTCGGTCGACAAATCGTGAGCCATCTCCAAGTGGATAGCCCTCGTGGTCAGGCACGTAAACAGTGCCACCCACCTCTTCTCTGTGCGACGTCCAATTGTCACAAGGAGCGGCCCAAAGTAGTCCAGGCCAGTAGACTTAAATGGCCATCCGTTGGCCTCTAGCCGATCCGCAGGTAAGGGGCCCATCTCGGGCTGTGTGGGTCGTGCCTTCCGCAGCTTGCAAACGTTGCATTTGCTCACCACCCTCCGTAGCAGCCTCCGCAAGTTCGTTATCCAGAACTTGCTCCGAATCGATCCGATCGTCGCCTCCGTGTTTTGGTGGCACATCCTTTCGTGGTGTTGCTGCACGATCAGCTCTGCCAGCGCCTCCTCGTGAGACAGTATGATCGGCCGACGTGCGTTGTATGGCACACACGTCGCGTCGTCGATCCTTCCACTGGCTCTCAATACTCCGTCCTCGTCAAGGTATGGGGACAGTCCGTGCAGTCGGCTGTCCTTGGCGGCGTTTCCTTGGCTGTCCTCAGCAAACGCTTCTCGCTGCGACTGCCGTATCAATGCGCGTTCTGCTTCAGCGCACTCGATCGCGGTCAATCCATAGACCTCTTCATCGCGACGTATTCCACGGCATCGTCGAACAAATCTGAGCGCCCACGCAGTCGTCCTCACCAGTCGATTATAGCTGGAGAACCTCTGCAAGGGTATAAAGTTTACCGTGACCAAGGCAAACTCACATTTCATTTCCTCGTCATCGGTCGTCGGAGGAATCCAGTCCTCGCTCGATCTCGGCCAGCTCTCCTCTGGTCCTCGTAAAAACGGCGGTCCGTTTAGCCATCGCGAACCGATGCTCAGGTCCACGGCCTTGCGCGGCCTTGTTGCGTCATCAGCCACGTTTTCGGCGGACGGGATCCATCTCCACTTGGACGCCTCTGTCGATTCCAAAATCTCCGCCACCCGGTTTCCGACGAACTGTTTGTATCTCCGGTGGGTGTTGCTTATCCAGTGCAACACAGTCTTGGAGTCCGTCCATAGCGCACAGCTGCTGATCGCCACACCGTGCTCCTGCTTGACGGTGTCCATCAATCTCGTGCCCAATACCGCTGCTTGGAGTTCCAGACGCGGGATCGACATGGTTCTCATCGGGGCGCATTTCGTTTTGGAGCTTATGAAGTGCGCCTTCACGTCTCCGTTCTCGTACGTGGCCCGCCAGTAGGCCGCTGCTGCGAACGCCGATTGACTGGAGTCCACGAAGATGTGCAGCTGTAGCGTCCGCACTCGTCCGCCGCCAAAGTAGTGGCGCGGGCATCGGAACTCCTGGATCCGACTCATCCCTTGCCGCCAATCCTCGAAGGCTGCGGCCAATTCATCCGGTAGCGACTCGTCCCAGTTGACTCCTCTCCGCCAAATCTCTCTCAGCAGCAGTTTGGCAATCACCATGTAGCAGCTCAGGAATCCAATCGGGTCAAACGTAGACATCACCAAGCTTAGGAACTCCCTCTTGGTAGGGACTCGTTCCCCCGTCATTACGTTCCTCGGGACTCGATGGTACTTGACGCCGAACTTGAACTCATCGGTAGCCGGCTGCCAGTACATCCCAAGCACCTTCTCCTCAGCTTCGGTCCATCCGACGCTGGCGATGGGCTCAAGTGGGTTCAGCGCTTTGACCACACTTGCCGAACTGGAGGTAAATCGGCAAAAATCAAAACCAGCTTCAGCGTGAATTTCTCTCACCCGTGTCGAGATGGCGATAGCTTCGTCCTCGCTGGCGAAACTGTCGACGTAGTCATCCACGTAGTGGTATTGGTTGATGGCCAGGGCTGCTCGCGGGTCCGTGCTGCTATACCGCAAGGCATTCACGGTCTTCACGTAGTCCGCCGAACATGGTGAGCAGGCCGCTCCGAACGTCATTACTGCCATCTCGTATACGTCCGGCTCTCGCTGGTCGTCTCCGTCTCTCCACAGAAACCTCTGGGCGCATCTGTCCTTCGGCTGCATCAGTACCTGATGAAACATCTCCTTGATGTCTGCACAAACTCCAACCGCTCCTTCCCGAAAATGGAAGAGCACTGCTGGGAGGGGCTTGTAGCGCTGTGGGCCTTTCAGTAGCGCTGAATTCAAGGACACACCGTCCACCTTGGCAGCTGCATCGAAAACCAGCCGGATTTTCCCAGGCTTGTTCGGGTTTTCCACTCCGAAGTGCGGCAGGTACCACACTTTGCCCTCCTGAAACCTCTGGACTTCCTGGGCCTCCAGTCGTCGTGCGTATCCCTTCTTGACATAATCATCCATTATCCGGATGTAAGCCGACGCGAAGTCCACATCGCGCTTCATTTTACGCTCTATGTTGACGAGCCTCCTGAGGGCCATGCTGTAGCTCTCCGGCAATCTCACTTCGTCGTCCTTCCATAGCAGCCCGGTCTCGTATCTCTGGCCTACACGTTTGGTCGTCTTCTCCAGGGTGCTCAGGGCCCGTGCGTCGCCGCTATCTCCGACTGACGGCTCCAGGTCCACTCTGCCAGCTGCGGCTGGCTGCACCGGCTTCGCTCCGAAATTCTCGGTCTCGAAGTAGTCGCTGACCATCTTCTCCAGAAGATCATCCTGGGGCACGGCTAGGAGGCACGAATTCAGAAGCGGCGAGCTCGGCTTTCCGTTCACCGGTCCATATACCACCCATCCAAGTGCGGTGTCTGCTGCAAACGGCCCTCCAGATCCATAACTTTTGGTCCTGAAGGGTACTCCTAAGTGCGCATGATCCAGTCCAATTAGGATCCTCGGCGTCGCATTGTTGTACGGCATCACCGGCAGACGTGTGTTCGCCTTCACTGCTTGTACATCCTCCTGACGCAGGCTTGGCATCGGAAGGTTCAGATTGGCCACTCCGTACACATTTTTCAGCCCATGGCGCTTTGGTTTGCCCGCTGCGCTGATCTGCAGGCTGACCACCTTCGTGTGCTCTTTGGCGGATTTTCCACCAAACCATTGCACGTTCAGCTGTCGACTCTCGCCTTTCAGGTTCAGGCTGCGGATGAGTTCGTCGTCGATGAGTGTGACAGACGATCCTTCATCCAGCAGTCGCTGGAATCCACTGACCGTGGCACTCCTCTCCGATTGTTGCCGTCTCTGTACGGCTGTCGGTCCTGATCCCTCCTGTGGCCCCCATCTGCGACTGGCGGCCGTTTGGATCGTTCAGGTACTTCGTGGAGCAGGTGGTGATGCCTCATCTGGCATCCGAGGACGTTGCATCCGCGGCTCTTCCTGCAGAACCGGGACATGTGTCCGGGCTCCAGGCACGAGAAGCACAGTCGTCGCTTCCTCGCGGACTCGATCCGTGTCGTTGTAGAGGCGCTGATGAAGTCCTTGCAGTCCCTGACCTGGTGCTGTCCCTCGCATATAGGGCAGCATCTGGGGCGGTCGACATATCGATCCTCCTCGCGAACACTATTCGCGTGCAGAATCCTTCGCTTCGGTTGTTCCCTGGCTCCGGCGTCCGTGACAGTGCACACCAGTTTGGCGAATTCATGGAGCCACTCGCTCAGGTGCGCCACCGTCGGATACGGCTGTATCGTGGCCGCGTGCCTTGCCCAATCCAACCTCTTGCTTAGCGGCAACTTGGCTATCAGCTCCTCCATTAGGGTTGGGTTGGCTAAGTGCTGGCTGCCGGTCGCGGTCGACTGCAGGAACGCTGACAGGTTGCTAACCTTCGTCGCGAACGGCACGATCCTCGCGATGTTGGCCTCCTGAATCGGCTGCACTTCGCGCACGCTCTCCAATTGGCTGCGGATCAGTTGCTCCGGGCGTCCATACCGGAATCGTAGCTGCTCCATAACAGCTTGTACGTTGCTGGGATGGATGAGCAACGACTTCACTGTTTCGCGAGCCTCTCCCTTCAGGGCTTTCACTAGCCTCTGGTTGTTCTCCAACTCGGTGCACTGGTAGGCTGCAGTTGTCTCCGTGAACGCACACAGGAATATTGGCCATTCCTCTGGCTGACCCTCGAAATAGGGAAGATCAGGTAGTCTGCGTGGCGTCCATCCTTGTATGCTTGTCGTCGGCGCTCCATATGATATGGGCGATGGCGCAGGTACCTCTGGGTGAACATAACCTAGCACCGGCTGTGCTGCGGCGGTCACACAAGATGGCGGAGAATAGCGCAGCATTGTTGTTGTCGACACAGGTTGCCCGTTTGCCCAATGGCCGCCAAGCGTCGGCGCCAAATTCGCACTCCATTGTGGCGGCAAATTTGTACTCACTTGTGCCGGCAACTGCAGCGATGGCGTCACTCCGAGATCCGTTTGCAGATTGTCCCTCATCTGCCTGGGCAGGTTTTCGCTCAAACTCTGCCGTGGCGCTGCTCCATGAAGTGGCAGCGTTCCACTCGAACATGGCGGTGTATTCGCTGCACCGCTCACTCCAACGCCGCGTGCCCCGATTCCAACGGGATCTCTGGCGGCCTCTGCTTGTCCTCCACTTGCTCTTGCCTTCGCCAGCTCCGACTCCAGACGTGCGATCCTTTCCATTAAGGCCGCCACTACAGTTGTGGGATCCGTAATCTGCCCCGTCGCTTCGGGCTGCAGGTTACTTGCCGCTTTCCTGGCGGCTGTTCCACTTTCCTTCGGAGTCTGTGGCCTCTGTCGATCACCAGCCACACTCGCAGAGCTGGTCGCGGTGCCAGTTGCTGTGGCCGTGGTGGTCGCTGTTGCGGGAACGCCCGAGGCTTCCAGCCTGGGGCTCCGCCTGGGTGAGTGCTTCGTGGGCATCATCAATGCAGAGTGCGAATAAAAGAATTTGTCACCGCTTGGCCGATCACGGGAATGCCTTATAACACTCGTAAATTGGACAAATGTTGAAGTGTAGTGTAACGAGCGTTTTATTCTAAAAGAAAATGGTTCTTAACCTGATACATAATTACTTATCCTACATACCGCAGTTTCTCTTCCCCTTTCTGTGATGGCGCAAATCGATGTGTTTATCCGCCAAATATTCTATTCCTGTTTACCCTATTTTAGTGCGACCAACTAACCTAAACTAAATACTAGACTTCATAAAAATCCTGACTATCGATAGCCTAATCCGTTCCGCGACACTAACTCTAAAAACACAAATGTTATACCATTTCCGATGGTTAGTTATCAGTTATATGGCAGCTATAGGATATTGTGAACCGACCCCGGTCGTTCGGACCTTTTTACTGCGTGCAAAGAAAAGAAGGGTGTGTGCAAAGTTTCAAGTTGATAGCTTTAAAACTGAGAGACTAGTTTGCTTAGAAACAGACAGACGGACATGCTTATATTAACTCAGGAGGTGATCCTGATCAAGAATAAATACACTTTATAGGGCCGGAGAAGTCTCCTTTATTATAATACCATTATAATTCCATATTATTATAATACCCTTTTCAAGGGTATAAAAATCAAACGATTTATTTTTTTTAATGTTACGATTATTATTTATACATACAGTTATTATTTGAAATCCAACCATGCAAATGAGAATGGATGATATAATGAGATTGAACAGTAAAATTGGGTTAAAAAAGTCTTCCAACTGCTTAGAAAATCTATAAATAGAACAAAAAATATATTGTCATTGTTGTTGATAATAATTATATATATGATATTATTCTATATATTACATATATATACATTAATATATGTTAGTTTATAAATACACTCTTGGCATAAATACCTTAGTTAATAAAACTTCCATACAGCCCTGGCATATCAAACTTAATATAACATTATTTACCGATTTTGTTGTTATCGGCATGGTACAAAATCTTTTAGATAAGTAGTCGAGTCGTTGGTAATTTTTTAAATTGTTGGTCCGTTAACATCCAATATTATTATACACTTGCAGAGGGTATTATAATTTTGTCCAAAAGAGTGCACCGCAATGAAGGAGGCATCTCCGACCCTATAAAGTATATATATTCTTGATCAGGACCACCTCCTGAGTTGATATGAGCATGTCCGTCTGTCCGTCTGTATGTCTGTCTGTTTCTACGCAAACTAGTCTTTCAGTTTTAAAGCTATCGACATAAAACTGTGCACACGCCCTTCTTTCTTTTGCACGCAGTATATAAGTCGGAACGACCGGGATCGGCCGACTATATCCTATAGCTGCCATATAACTGACTGATCGGAAATGGTATAACTTCGGTTTTAGAGTTAGAGAGTTCACATTTGACATGAGAGTTATTTTTGGCAAAAACCTTACGTAATGCTAAATTTTATAAGGATCGGCCAACTATATTTTGTAGCTGCCATATAACTGAACGATCGGAAATAACCCGACTTTCGCGGTTTTGAAGATAGAAAGCTGGAACTTAGTACAGATTATATTTGTGGTCAGTTAATACGACCTACCAAATTTCATAACGATCGGTCGACTATATCTTATAGCTGCCATATAACAGAACGATCGGAAATGGTTTTTGGTAGAAATATCAACTTTGGTATTTTTGAAGATAGAAGTTTGGGACTTTTTTTAGATTTTGTATTATAATAAATCGAGTTATATTATCATATTCTCATAAGGATCTGAAAACTATATCCGATGTTTGCGATATATATCTGGTTTTATCTGAAAGGGTATATCAACTTCGGCTCCGCCCGAAGTAAGCTTTCTTTTCTTGTTAAACTTGAAATAACGTTTTACAATTTTTGTTACATGCTCAGACCGGGAGTAAAATTTACGAACACTCCAAAGTAGATAAACAATGAATATCAGTCCGGTGAACCTAGACGAGTTTACGGAACATAGTTTTGAGTAAAAAAATCTAAAGAAGCACTCTTTGTAAAAAATTGGCTCAATTTACCTAGAATACTTTGCCCGTTTTGATAGTGTGGCAACCCTTTTCAGTTCTCGTTCTCGACCAAACTCAATAGCTATCAATTTTACGGGAGTACATCTCCAACAGATACACACTCTCGCTTAGTTTCGTCAGTGTCTTCTGCAGAGTCTTTGCCGCATTCATCTCTCGATCATCTTTCTAGTTCTAAATATATGTATATATTAAACAATAAAAATAAGAACAGCAAATTGGTGACCCCTACGTGATCACTATATACACGCGAGTACTGGTGCTTAAAATGGCAAACAACGACGCCCCTCGAAAAATTTGAAATCGTGCATTCATCTCTCGATCATCTTTCTAGTTCTAAATATATGTATATATTCAACAATAAATATAAGAACAGTATATTGGTGATCCCTACGTGATTACTATATACACGCAAGTACTGGTGCTTACAATTGCAAACAACGACGCCCCACAAGACGACGCCGAGATTTTTCACGATACCGTTACTCGATGTTTCGACGCAGTTATCAACCGTGTTGCTGTGAAAATACCGCCGATTTGGCCCGAACACCCAGAATTATGGCTATCGCAAATCGAAGATCAATTCGTTCTAGCGGGAATAACCTCGGACGAAACGAAATTTTACACAATCCTAGCGTCAATCAAAGCACCGGTGTTGACCTGAATTGCCGACGCCATCGTCAACCAACCACGCACAGGCAAGTACGAAAATTTGAAATCGTTCATTCTCGAACGCTTCTGCGAAAGCGAACAACAGAAAATCCAGAAGTTAATATCGGAGACCGACCTTGGTGACATGCGCCCCACACAACTGCTCAACGAGTTTAACGCACTCGCCGCAAACAAATTTCACGAATGTTTCTTAAAAGCACTGTGCTTGCAGCGTTTACCAACACAAGTGCAAGCGATCTTGCAAGCATTGGACGCCAGCCTGGCAAACTTAGCTAAGTTGGCAGACAAAGTGATGGAAGTCGGTGATTGTCATCAGGTGAGCACCGTCGACGCCAAGTTGGCGCCAACCAACAGCGCCGTTTTTGATGATCGTCTAGACCGAATCGAACAACAAATCAACTCGCTGTTCAAAACCCGTTCTCGCAAGAACAGCTTGCGAACGGATCGCAACAGCGTCATAGCTGCAGACATGTGTTGGTACCACAGCAAATTTGACAACGCCGCCAAGAAATGTCGCCAACCATGCTCTTTTTCATCCGAACCAAAATAACTAAAACAATCTTCGGATTCGGCGGAAAAGTTCGAAGAAGACCGCAACACAATTTCCCGCCTCGCCATCAACGACAATTTCTCCAAAACACAGTTTCTCATCGATACCGGCGCCGACATTTCAGTGATATGTGCAAAAACGCAAAAACTATGCTCACTATAAAGCTTTTTTTTGCCGCCAATGGCACGAAAATACAAACCTATGGAGAAAAACGCATAGCATTGTCAATGGGACTGCGACGAAACTTCATTTGGACCTTCGTGATAGCTGACGTCAACTGCGCTATCATCGGATACGACTTTCTTTAACATTTCGGCTTACTCGTCGATATGAAACGACGCAAACTCATATATCGGGCTACGCTGCTGGAATCAAAATGACACGCGTCTCCACGTAAAATCAACGCGATTTTATCCTACGACAATATGCTACATTGCTTCACGAATATCTCGCAACGATCAACTCGAACCGGCTGCCAGCAACGTCCGAAATAACGCACTTCATCTCGACCGGGCCGTTGGTCGGGCCTACTCACGCTGAGCCCGACGACTAGCGCCCGACAAACTCAAAGAAGAAGATATTTTCGAAAATCGGTCTGCAAAAAGCATATCACCAGATTCCTGTCAAACCAAAAGATATTCCCAAAACAGCAATTATCACGCCTTTTGGGCTATTCGAATTTTTGTTCATGACGCTCGTCTGCGCAACGTAGCGCAAACTTCTCAACGCACCTCCGCACGATCCTCGACCGCCTTCGAAAGGCACATCTCACCGTAAACTTTGAGAAGTGCCAATTCTGTAAAACACAACTCACATTCCTGGGATACGACATCAGCCAGCAAGGCTTAAAACCATCCGAAGCCAAAGTGGAAGCCATTCGGCACTTTAAAAAACCGCTTATCTCTAAAGACCTAAAAAAATTTCTCGGTATGATTAATTTCTATAGGCCGTTTATCCCACGAGCAGTTGAGAACCAGTGCATTCTCCAGACGCTGATCCAAGGCAATAAAAAGAACTACAAAACTCCGATACTTTGGTCTACAGAAGCCGACTACGCATTCACTGCCTGCAAGAACGAGCATGCAAACGCTACCTTGTTGAACTACATGGCACCAAACTCACAATTAACGCTAACCACCGATGCATCCCACGACGCTATGGGTGCCATAATACATCCGATAATCAACGGACAGACACAACCACTGGGATTCTTTTCCAATAAATTCACATCGACGCAAAAGAAGTACAACACCTACGATAGAGAACTGACTGCCATCTATCAGGCCATTTTGCATTTTAAGTACGCACTGGAGGACAGAAATTTCGTAATTTTCACCGACCACAAGCCGCTTATGTACGCCTTCAGTCAAAACAGCGAGAAAGCATCACCTCGACGCGCTCGGCAACTGGATTTAATCAGCCAATTCAGCACCGATATCCGGCTCATCTCTGGAGAAGAAAACAACGTTGCTGATCTTCTCTCACGAATCGATGCCATAAAACACATAAGCTTCGACGAGAAGGCACTGGAACAGGAAAACGATGCGGAACTAAATTCGCTACTCAATTCTGACGCTGAGAAACCCATCTCAATAACAAAATTGTCTCTTTCAGGCAACTTTCAGGCTCTTTCTCTCTTTTAAACAAGCAATTGTACTGCCACGTCGCCAATAACCATACGCGTCCGTTTGTGCCCAGATGCCTTCGCCAAACTGTTGTTGAGGCCCTACATTCGCTGAGCCATCCGGGAGTTAAGGCAACCAACAAGTTGGTCGGCAAACACTACATTTGGCCTCGAATGGCGAAGGATGTCGATAAAATCGTACGCTCTTGCATCCCGTGCCAGAAGGCCAAAATCCAACGTCACACCAAATCGCCACTAGGAGAGTACATCGCCAGCGACGCCCGTTTCGAACACATAAATATCGACATAGTCGGCCCACTGCCTTCATCGAACGGAAACCGATACTGCCTCACGTGTATCGATCGTTTCTTAAAATGTCCCGAAGCAATTTCTTTAGTAGACATCACAGCACAATGTGTAGCCAACGCACTGATATCGGGCTGTTCGCTGAGTTCGGTATTCCTCTCCACATCACAACCGATCTAGGTCGAAAATTCGAGTCTACAATATTCCAAGACTTCTCTCTCTTCCTCTTAAGCGAACGGTCGTGTTTTTTTTTGTGCGCACTGCGTTTATGATAAATATTGGTAAACCGGTGTTTACTTACTTGTGAATCTATTAAGAATCTTAAGTTTTAACCTAAACCGTATCACTTTGCGAGTGCTGTGGTATATTTGGAGGAGAATTAATAATTTGTATTCCAAGCATAAATTCAATTCAATTCCAAGCATAGCTCAGCTCTGCGTCTTCCCCGTCTTATCTATATTTCTGCACTTTTCTTTTGCACTCTCCAAAGCTCCCGCTTCGGGTTCCTATTTGGCAAGGTATAGTATTTCTTAACTTTTTATATACTAATTTTGTTTGTTATTGCGTAAAAATATGGAATTT